GAGGAATTCCGCGAATACAGCGTCCATGATCGCTGAGTGCCCAGGTGGGGCGGCCACGGGTCTTGAAAACACTCGCCTTGCGGCGAGGCCCCAACTTCTCGGACCTGAGCGGTTCTATTGAACACAGGTGGCGATGCGGCACGATTACTACAGGACAAAGAAAAAACACAACAAAACGGAAATAACAAAAAGAAACAGAACAATTAAACACTTCCAGGAAAACAGTTTGTCGGCAGATGTACCACGAACACAGAAACAACAAAAGGAAACAAAACAAATAAAAATTTCCAGAAAGAGCACTTAGTCGGCAGATGTACCACGAACACAGGCCGCGCGAACAATGGCCGGGCTAACAAAAGCCGGGCGAACAAAGACCGGGCGATCGAGTGGTCGATGAGCACGTCCGCACGTGACGGGTGCCTCTATCGGAATGATAAATGAACGTGGGCGAGTGACAAAGTCAAAAGCCTACTCCAGTTTCTTTTCGGTCCTTTATTTAGCCACGAGAGACTTTCACACACATCAGAGTCACAAAATTTTTCGATGAGAACTAGGTCTTTGTTATATGTGTCCGATAATATGCGTAGCGAGGCTCTTGGGCTAGCCTTGGAGTAATAGTTTTGTACGGAAAATAAAACGGATAATGAATACTGGTCGAAGGAACGCGGATCCATTATATTTGTAACTCTCTTCATAACGGTATCAAATTATAGATATGTGTATAATATGTAGATCTGTTAGATAGATTTCTTATGAAAAAGATCACCGTACATTTGTCCAACGTAAAGAATAATTGTAATTTTCACAGAATACTCATAGAGACGATTTGGGTCACCGTGAGCCCGGTTTTGCCTTTTACATTACTTATGTCCATGAGCATTCACGACCACTCACCGTCAGATTCAATGTATAGTCGTTTATTTTAGTAGGCAATAAAAATATTACCTATTAAATATTATATGAAGGTCGATGTGGGCTCTCACAAATCAGAGAAGAAAAAGATTTATAATTTTTTTATCCTTGTAAAATTTTTAAACGAGAGATTTGTTAAAGGATCTTAGAAGGGACAAAGAAACGTAATACTAAAATAAAGCAAACCGTTAGCGTAGTATAGACTATGTGTGTGAAAATCTGTGACTTTATAATGTTTTGTAGAAGTTGGAGAACGAAGTGGTGCTGGTATAGTTCAACTAGACTGTATCCAAAAATGTTTTTTGTGCAAGAGCTTTTTTTTTTTCTTCTTGCCGTATAGGTAGACGAGCATATGGACCTCCTGATGGTGAGTGGCTACCGTCGCTCATGGACGTCAGCAATGCCAGGGGCAGAGCCAAGCTGCTGCCTACCGTTTAATACTCTCCACAAGCCTCGTTTGAAGAAGAACATGTCATAGCGCTCGGGAAACACCGTGCAGGGGAGCTCATTCCATAGCCGGATCGTACGTGGTAAAAAAGATCTCTGGAAACGCACTGTCGATGAACGAAGTGGCTCCATCTTAAAGCTCGGTTGACTCCGGAATGTGGACTGCGATTTTAAAAAGGTCATGGTTCGAATTCCCGAGTTTGGATTTTATTACACACTTTCGCGTGCAGCTTTCAGAATCATGATGCTGGATTACGAATAATCATTTACAGATTATTAAACTCAATTCTAATTCAATACGTAAAATGTATCGCTCTCAATGCTCACCGAGATAAGTTATCAATGTAATATTGATTCATAATAACGTGGATTCTATACTTATCGTCTATTATCTGCAATATTTTTTGTTTTATCGTGAGCTGCCTAGACCTACCAAGTAATTTGTTCATAAATTGTAAATCACTATGTATTTGGCTACGCCGGTATTTATTTTTGGAAAGTGTTAATTGGTTATTGCTTTAGATCAGGGCTGTCCAAACTATATATCTTTGCGGGCTGATTAAATTTGCTACACAAGCAGGAGGGTGGCAGAAAAATAATTATATATTCAAAAACAAAATATTTTATAGACAAAAATAATAATAAAAGATAGCTTCACTTTTAAATTATCTCATGGGAATGGAATGTAACAAAATTAAGATAAATTATACCCAATATTTATTATATGTTTTGACAAAAAATTCTGTTATCCAAACTATAATTTTTTTTTATATTATAACTTATATCCAAAACTATTTTCTGATTAAAACATGTGTCGCGGGTCGCATGCTCTGTCTGGACAGTCCTTTAGATGAACGAGATCGAAGGGAGGGCGAAACGGAAAATATTAATACCTGTAATACCTTCCCAATACGACTAAGAGTAAGATTGTATTTTTCACTGGTAACAGGCCCTAGCAACATACAACATCTGACCGATACATTGTTACCAACCAGCTAATAGACCACTGGCCTGACTGCTCCAATAAAACAGACACATCGACATTAATATCGGCTGATCGTGTTATCAATGGAGATATGAACCTGTTGATAACAGGTATAATTTTCGTACATTCTTCGGTAGTCGCGTGTTGCATTGCATACGTATATAGAGCGTGTGGTGTTTGCCGCGTTTTCCGAACATATGTGTATCGTTCACATGTTTCCTAACAGTTTATTGAGTCGCCGTAATTCGTTGGTTTTATACTTGCAATGGCTAGTGGAGATTACACTATGAATAAGGTAGGTGTTCTTTTTAAATTAAGGAAACTTTTCTGTGCCTTTGTTAAATAATTAACGGTTGTTTTTAGAATGGATGCATTCTATGGGTGATTTCGTAATATTTGTTTGCTATTGAGGATATTTTAATTTGTATAATTATTGAAATTTTAGTTTTTTGCTCTTTTCAGTGAGTTGATATTCCTGTGTAAGCTAATTTGTTGTTAATGAAACGGTTATTTCATTAGCTGCAGGTGTAAAAATGTAAAATTTTATAATTTTTTTAAATTATAAATTAGGAAGTAAACATATTAATTTCGTTGTGGACGTTCAATATATTTTTCATTTCATTAAATATAAATGCGATTTTCGTTAAGTTCATGCAAATAATTGGGAAGATATTCTTCGTATCTATACTAATATTATAAAGAGGAAAGATTTGTTTGTTTGTTTGTTTCGAATAGGCTCCGAAACTACTGGACCGATTTGAAAAATTCTTTTTCCATTAGAAGCCGACATTGTCCCTGATGAACATAGGCTACTTTTTTTGTTTTTTTTTGTTTCATGTGTGTTTTAATGTTTCCGAAGCGAAGCGAGGGCGGGTCGCTAGTTATTAATAATTTACTACGGTAGAAGACCTGTTAAGTGTTGTCCTCCCAAGTCCAAGCTTCCTGGGGGTCAAAAATATTTAGCTACCACTCTACTATTCTTATGTATTATATTATTATCGTAAAGTATTCAGCGCTCATATTTGGAGGATGCTGTTTGTACTTATACATGAATGAAATCTAAAATTTACTATTTAAAATTATTCACTGAATTATTGTAATTATTGTGATTAAACTCACAGTCGAATTTAGGGCTGGTTTGCTTATCAATAATAATATAACCAAACCAAGTGAATTGTCAGCGGTGACATTGCGTGTGTTACTAAAATAACAATATTAAAATATTATCGACTTTCTACGGCTTTGTAAGAAATGATAAAATGAAAAAAAAGATTTATACCACATTTATCTAGACGCAGAACCTAATAAAGTTTAATCCGTTTAAATCATTCAATATTTCGAATTGTTTGGTCGATCGTAAAATAATACATACATATCTACAAGTAGGGTAGTGGGAAAACCAGCTTATAGAGCACCATCACTCGATTGAAGCTTTGAGTACAGACATCACTGGTTGTAGGATCTCTTGGCAGTCCGCACGGGTAGGTACCACCACCACCCTGCCTATTTCCGCCGTGAAGCAGTAATGCGTTTTGGTTCGAAGGGTGGGGTAGGCGTTGTAACTATACTGAGAACTTAGAATTTATATCTTGAGGTGGGTGGCGGGTTTACGTTATATATGTTTGTGAAAATAATTTATATATATATATTTTTTTTTATTGCTTAGATGGGTGGACGATCTCACAGCCCACCTGGTGTTAAGTGGTTACTGGAGCCCATAGACATCCACAACGTAAATGCGCCACCCACCTTGAGATATAAGTTCTAAGATCTCAAGTAAGTTACAACGGCTGCCCCATCCTTCAAATCGAAACGCATTATTGCTTCACGGCAGAAATAGGCAAGGCGGTGGTACCTACCCGCGCGGAGTCGCAAGAGGTCCTATCACCAGTGATTACGCAAATTATAGTTTTGCGGGTTTGATTTTTATTACACGATGTTATTCCTTCACTGTGGAAGTCAATCGCGAACATTTATGTTATATACGTATTTCATTAGAAAAATTGGTACCCGCCTGCGGAATTTGAATACCGGTGCATCGTTAGATACCAATGCACCGGACGTCTTAGCCTTTAGGCCACGACGACTTCAAAAATTTGAGATTTTATATAGGATTTTGTTTGTACTTGATGAATATGCTATTCCGAAAATTTCCGATACAGTTTGTATCTTTTTTTGTCATAATATGCTCTTGGGCATCATCGGATCATACCAAAATGTCTAAGTATGCCTGCCTTCGTTTAGCCCCATTGCTACCCAGTGTTATATATGGTAGATCAGCCTTTCTCTATATCACTTGATTAAGCACAAATTGATCTTTTGCAATAATATTACATATTTTCTATCTAACTTTCTGTCTAGTGCATAAGTCTTTTAGTTTCACAAAAGCACTTGTTAATACTAAACGCTACATGTAATTTACTCAATTGATTTGGGTGTTTTAAGGACCAGTTGTTATCACATTTCGTCACAATATCTTTAGATTGTGTGGCAATTAATACATTTTGTAAATCAAATCAGGTACTATGTTAGATAAAAATGTGTTTTACACTTTATCTATGATATTACGAGCATATTCTATGTTAATTGAATGAATATGTTTTTTTCCATTGAATTCATACTTTAATATCAAAGATATATGTATAATAATGTGCAGGGATTTAGTTAATTAATTTCTAATTTTCACATAATTTCACAGTGGGATGGTTCGTATATTAAAATGTAATTGTACAACATCGAAATTTAATTTACATATGTAATGTTTAAAAGTATGTAACTAACTGTAATTGTAACCATCGCCGAAAGTCAACGTGAATGCCCTAAGAAATATATTGAAGTCATTCTTTAAAACAAGACTGAGTCACAGAGCGATACGAGAACCAACCTCGTTCTTGAGCTGTGTCAAACCGCGCCAGAGAGTTATAAACTTCTGTATTCATTCTACCAAAAACATTCTTAGAAGTCTGCCATATTACATTTAAATCTTTTTATTATTATCTATTTATTTATTTATAAATTTACTAGCTGACCCGGCAGACTTCGTAGTGCCTCAGTCGATAAATAATAGACCTAAACTTTTGTATAAAATAAACTTATAACAAACAAAAGGAATCCGTCCGACGGGGGACACATCAAAGGGAAAACAAAATTGTCATTTTTATTAATATTCCGAGCATTTTCATATTTATCTACCTTTTAAATCTTCCCTGGACTTCCACAAATACCAATTCACGACCAAAATTAGCCAAATCGGTCGAGCCGTTCTCGAGTTTTAGTGAGACTAACTAACAGCAATTCATTTTTATATATATAGATATGGGAAACCAACGGTACAAAATAAACATATAATATTAAAAAATATGACTTAAACAATAACCAAACATGTTTCCACCATCAAAACCACATTTAAGTAAAGAGTGAACAGAGGACAAAAAAGAGAAATTTTAGTTTATACAAAAAAAAACAAAAGCATCACTATATGCACATATTATTATGTACATCAACTTACACTATAAAACTTAATAATATTCATCGGACTAAATCACCTTACAATTATGCTAGAAGTGATATACAAAAGATGTCAGCATTGTCGTACAACCTACAAGATTTACGGACAAAAGAGTTAAGAAGCATATTTTGACGAAAAATTGTATCGCATATTACAGTTTAAATTTATTAGTATTTTTTTGGTCAGGAGACGGCAGCGGAAGGCGACATATAGCTCATAATCATACATATAATATGATGTCATAATGATAATGAATTTTTTGATTGGCTTATATTCTTCGATGAGCAAATCAGCTCACGGCCTACGTTCAACGGCTGTTGGAGTCCTCACCGTCATCTAAATATCCACCTTGAGCGATAAATTAAAGTTTCATTTGTATTCGACAACAAAAGGAATGGCCGTCTCACCCTTCAAATCAAAATCTATGATTTTTACCTGTAATAAAATGCAGGATTGGTGCGGGCTGGCAACAAGTCCTGTCTCTAGTATGTAAATTATATAGTATATATTTTGAAGTCGTCGCGGCCTAAAGGGTAAGACGTTCGGTGCATTGGTATCTAACGATGCACCGGTGTTCGAATTCCGCAGGCGGGTACCAATTTTTCTAATGAAATACGTATATAACAATAAATGTTCGCGATTGACTTCCACAGTGAAGGAATAACATCGTGTAATAAAAATCAAACCTGCAAAATTATAATTTGCGTAATCACTGGTGGTAGGACCTCTTGTGAGTCCGCACGGATAGGTACCACCGCTCCACCTATTTCTGCCGTGAAGTAGTAATGCGTTTCGGTTTGAAGGGTGGGGTAGCCGTTGTAATTATACTTGAGACCTGAGAACGTATATCTCAAGGTGGGTGGCGCATTTATGTTGTAGAGGTCTATGGGCTCCAGTAACCACTTAACACCAGGTGGGCTGTGAGCTCGTCCACATACCTAGGCAATAAATAAAAAAATTATATAAAAATGTCCCAGGCTATGTTGCGAAGTAATGTATTGTTTGCAAATACTGTTGATTACTCATAGTGATGTAATCAAAATTCTAATTATACTTTAATAATGGCATTTCGATATTGTTCACATTTACAACGTGAATTAAGTTGATTTTTATATTGCGATACGGTAATCGCGAGCAGCTGCATTGTGTTATTTTATAGGCACCTGTAGAGAGATTAAAACAACAATGGCAGCCGTTATGCTATAAAACTGATACTTAGGATTCATGTCTCAAGATGGGACGCGGCATTGAAGTTGTTGATGTCCATGGGTTTCGGTAACGACTCAACACTAGGGGGGCCATGATCTCACCGACCCACATGGTATACGCGCACCATTTTTTTATTTTTTTTTAAATTTATTGTTTATATAAACAATAAAAAAAATGGTGCCGTGTAATTTGATGCGTGTGAAAGAAGTGAAAAAAATAAGACGTCCGGTGCATTCGTGTTGAGCGATGCACCGGTGTTCGAATCCCAGGCGGGTACCCATTTTTCTAATGAAATACGTACTCAACAAATGTTCATGATTGACTTCCACGGTGAAGGAATAACATCGTGTGATAAAAATCAAACCCACAAAATTATAATTTGCGTAATTACTGATGGTAGGACTCTTGTGAGCCCGCCCGGGTAGGTACCACCACCGTGCCTATTTCTGCCGTGAAGCAGTAATGCGTTTCGGTTTGAAAGGTGGGGCAGCCGTTGTTACTATACTTGAGACCTTAGAACTTATATCTCAAGGTGGGTGGCGCATTTACGTTGTAGATTCCTATGGGATTCAGTAACAACTTAACACCAGGTGGGCTGTGAGCTTGTGCATCCATATAAGCAATAATAAAAAAAGAGTTCAATTTTAATCCCAACGCGCCGATAGAAGTTTCACTTCAAAAATCTAAAATGAAAGCTTTGATTTGGTTTAGGGAGACGCAAATGGCAGGGCAACACAAAAAACAACCCAAGATGTGACGCCGGACAGGGCGAAGTGGGGCCGACCTCTGGAGTTCATTCTCGCTTGCCTGGGCTACGCCGTTGGCCTCGGAAACGTTTGGAGATTCCCATATTTGTCGTACAAAAACGGCGGAGGTAGGTTGATTAACATTCTTAGCTTACTGTAATACAGTGTACTGTTAGTGGTCATGGGGTTACAGTGGTCACATCCCGTTTTACGATTTTTAATAAGCTCAGTTACGTCGGAAGCTTTCACATTTATATGTCCCGGTATAATTGCAAGTATCGTTGATTTATACTATAAAAAAATTTAACATATTATAACTATATAACTGCAAACTATCCCAGTTTTGCAATGTCTCGGAGCGCAATGTGGTAAATTAATAAATCTAGCTATTTACCTATTAAAATTAAAGGTTTACCTTTTTCTATGTTACTTTGTTGTAAGACTTGTCCATTAAGTAAAAATATAATCTATTCTCAACAGGTGTGTAGAAGAATGTTTTTCTTGAAATACACCCAAAGTTTTGATTTACTGTTAGACTACGACTACCACTAAAAGTCAACACTGTGTAAGAAATAGCTGTGGCTATTGTACAGTATAATTGAATATCACTGTCCACCTTGAGGATTTACGATGAGACCTTTGATCACACGACTGTACTATAACTCGACCGGGGCGCGATATTGACTTAACATTAAAATTTATAAGATTCCATGACGTTCCTCTATTACAGAGATAGCTACAAATAGTCTGTTTGTTACAGGTGCTTTCCTTCTTCCATTTTTCTTGATGTTGATTTTCATCGGTCTGCCAATCTTCTACTTGGAGCTGTACATAGGGCAGTACACGGGGTTGGGTCCTCTAAAGGCATTCAGTGCGATCTCTCCATTCTTCAGTGGGCTCGGCTACTGCACTTTGGTCGTAATCAGCATCATTTCAATTTACTATATGATCATTGTGGCCTGGACGTTGTTCTACACGATTGTTTCTATTGGAGGAAACTTGGGCTGGGGATCTTGTGATAATGACTACAATACTGATTGTAAGTTTTCCAATTGAATATTCTATTAGTAAAATAAGATCTACTTCAGTTTTTACAAAAGATCACGGGAGATATGGTTTCAGAATGATTCTGCACAGCAGCAGACAGGGCTTAGGATACAAATCTAACGGTCACAAACCTGGTAGAGGAAGATAATTCCATCATAATATGTTTCATCATGTGTTTGATCATATAGGACTCTGATCAGATCCTGTCGATTTATTTTTGAAACAAGTTACTGTTAGGGAGAGTTGAGATTTCATTTCTTAAAACGGTAGGCAGCGGCTTAGATCTGCCCCTAGCATTGTTGAAGTCCATGAGCGACGGTAACCACTAACCATCAGGTGGGCCGTATGCTCGTCTGCCTACAAAGGCAATAAAAAAAAGCTTATGTTTTAACGTCAATTAGTTTCCGATAATTGCTTAATACCTTCAACTTTAGAGAAGAGGTCGATATTGAAAACAAAGATTTCCCGAGTTATGGAATTAAAGCTATCAGATAAGTCCTTAAGTTATTGTATCGTCCAAAGATAGTTGCCAAAACAACAACGAACAAGAGTAGAAATGTTTGAGAACTGCGTAGAATCTTGTTACAGTTAATAGGCTGTAAATTCTTGAATACAGTACTGGACTGGTCAAGTTGTACAAAGTTTGAGAGTCACTTAGCATTTAAGTGTAGACTTATATAGGTATAATATATGCTAATATATAAATCTACAGTGGTTTTTGCGGATGTTCCGTTATAACTACTGAATCATGCATCCGATTGGCTTGAAACTTGGTATCCACGTAGTAAATAGATATTGTACTTAATGGATAGGATAATATTTATATGAGTGTTGGACTCCCTAATAATAATGACAATAAATAATAATGTAAATTTTAAATGCGCAGAGAAGCGGGCGAGTACGGCTAGTACATATATAAATTGAAACTTAAAATAATAAATATGTATAAATATGAAGGTAGTGTTGAGAAACGTTCTTATATACAAATACAAAATTAGGTTAGGTATATTTATTTTAAAATAATTATTGTAAGTGACTTAGATATTTAGACAATTTATACTGGTCACTTTCTTGTTCATAATGTAATGAAATGAATGAACTAACAAATGAATATTTTTGTGCATAATGTGTGGCTTCCTAACCCATAGACGCATCCTACTGAGTTTCTCGTGGAATCTTCCTGGTAGATTCTGCGAAGCATTGCACTTGATAAGGCTAGTGTTAGCAAATTCTCTCAGGTTGAGTCCGTGATTTCACCTACCCGTCCGCGCATAGCTGGAATATCCCCTTAGGTTACCAACGACTATGTAGGGAAAAAATATCGTTTGGGTGTCCTTGCATTGTTGATGTTAAATGCTGTGGAAGTATTGGAGGAGAAAAATCGCATTATAATAATTATGTATTATTAGTATTTAACCCATTTTTATTAAAAATATTGTACTTTTATTAAATATCACTATCGCTAGGTAAGAAAGTCGTGGCGTAACTAATTTTGCCGAACCCACCAAGTAAGTTGTATGCGAGTGTGCGGTAAGAAAAACCTTCTGTAATATTAATGGCAGCAAAAACAATTTAGGTATCAGAATTCCTAAATCATCGAAAGCTATGACGTGTTTCGACTCACGTATCTGCGTATCGATCATGCTAATGAATTTTGTGCGTATGGATTAGTAGCGGAGTGTGTAACAGAGGCATACACAGCTCGATGATTCATAATTCATTTATGTACATCTACAAAAATTTGTCACTTAAACACACATTGGACAGTTTTAAATTTTGTTATTGAATAAATGATAAATACAGCTCAAATGATGTTTGAAATACGAAAAATAGGAAAGATTCAGATGTAAATACGTTCACAGAAGGGCTAGGGTATAAATTGAAGGCTATGCTAGTGAATTATTTTTTCAAATTAAATAAAAAACACTTTTCGATCACAGTGATTTCAAATTAGGTCAATGATAATGAGGGTATTAAGAGGCGCTTTTAAGATATTGTCCAACAATAGTTGAGATGTACTCGTGTGAAAGTTAAATGTGTGTAAGTCAGGGTGGGTTAGGAAACCCCACAGGCCGTAGCTTCCGCCGTCTCAATGGCCCCGACTGTTCGGAGTCGGGCGCTGGCTGTGAGCGGCAGGAGTTTTTGAGGTTCAAATCCCATATACACCCAACCCGCGGACGAGCGGGGTTCCGGTGGTTTTGTCCTGTACAAAAAAAAAACCGTAGCTTAGCATTAACACGATACTTAAAGCTTGTTAAAAGTAATCGGTTGCGTTTGACTGTTTGGAAGCCACATCAACGTAGCGGCATGTTCTCCTCGGAACTACCTCAGTACGTTGACATTTTTCGTTTTCATCTAAAATTTCAAAAGATTCATTGTCGGTTCTCAGCGCTTGGCGTGCTCCTGAAATTTCAAATGCTAATGAGGACGGTAACTTCAAACGAACGGTGGATTATGAAGTTTCCGAAAATTGAGTGTACTAGGAGGAATGTAAATACAAATCATTAATGTATTTTCTTTTGTTTTAGTTTGTTACAGCGGAGAATACGATAGGGTATGTCGCGAGAACAACACAGGGAACTACACGGACCTGACATTTTTTATGAGGCAGTGCATGAGCATCGGTGAAATTTGTGAGAGGTCTGGGTTTGGGCCTCTTGATGACAAATATTGCTTAGATGGAATCGATCAAGTGCCTTGGTATTCTAATATCACAAGAGTATTGGCTTCAGAGGAATATTATAAGTGAGTTTCATCTCTTTTTACCCTTTCTTATTATAAAACCGAATGACTCCTCTGGACTCCGACTCCACACGCATGAGATGATGATAGATTTTCCCAATTTACTAATTTGAAGGCAATTTTGACATAAAGTCAAAATTCAAAGTCAAAATAATACATAAAGTCAAAATAATGTTTGTGGGTATTTTACTCTCACCAGTAATACTATTTTGCAATCAGAAATCAAACAAGTATCTACATGTTTGATCAAAGCATGCCCAATACAATAATTCATATCTTACAAATTGCTATCTTTTTTTTTTAATTTCAATATTTTTTTGTAAATTCCCCACTGTCATGTAGGTATGTAGTTAATCCAAGATTATAAATATGTATATAAACAATGGTAAAACAAATGGTAATTTGCCTGATAGTACGGACAGGAGAGTCATTGCTTTAAAATCGATTCGACATAATAATGAAGTGGCATATTCGATAAAGGTAGCCTGATTTCGATAACTAGATAATTGACATGGAATTTACCACTTATGAAATTAGTGATTTGTTAAGTTAGCAATATAGCTGAGTTATTTAGCAATAATGCTCGGTTTATTTTTACTTATGCAACGTAACGTAATGTACTTTGGCAACTTCGGACTAACACCAAAAAATATGGATGCCGATACTATATTATTTTCGTCAATATTTATTATTTAATTAATTTCAATGATATGTTTATTGCTCTATAAAGATTGCATAGATAGTAAAGTGAATTGATGTGAGGAGGCGTGAACGTTCAGGATTTCGTCTTGAGGTCGACGCTTCGTTATCAAAAATTCTTATCGGAACTGTAATCTGATTTATAATCGTATTAATATCGTGAATTATTTCTGTAAGTGGCGATCGTTTGCAACACCTTAATTCAATATTAAAAATAATGACAGTTCATATTTCTATTTATGCTATGCTTTTGATTTCTATTTATGCTATGTTTTTGATTTCTTTTTATGCTATGCTATCTCGTAATGAACGGAAAATCAATTTTAATTTTATGTTATTCTTAATTTATGGAAGTGATTCATGAATGCAATTATGTCTTACTGGTCAACACTTACCAAACTATTTCTACAGATAATATCTTTAAGCTATTTTCAAGTCCCTAATCGCGAGGAAACTCCAGAGCGCAGCTAGGAGAGTAGTTCCGAAAATGGCGCATAAATATCAATCCAGTGAAAAGAACTGCGTTGCTATTTCAAAAGGGGGAACTCCACACGGATTACCTCCCGGATTAGGAGGAGGGATTTCACACCGCTGATTATCCTCTATCCTCGGTCAACCCATACCCTGGGCCAGGAAGGTCAATTACCTGGGAGTCACCCTGGATGCATCGGATCTGTAAGCGGAGTAAAATGTCCCTTCGGAACAAGGTGACACTTTACAAAACTTGCATAAGGCCCGTCATGACTTACGCGAGTGTGGTGTTCGCTCACGCGGCTCGCACGCACATAGACACCCTCCAATCCCTACAATCTCGCTTTTGCAGGTTAGCCGTCGGAGCTCCGTGGTTCGTGAGGAACGTTGACCTACACGACGACCTGGGCCTCGAATCGATCCGCAAACACATGAAGTCAGCGTCGGAACGTTACTTCGATAAGGCTATGCGTTATGATAATCGCATTATCGTTGCTGCCGCTGACTCCTCCCCGAATCCCGATCACGCAGGAACCAGTCACCGTCGATGCCCTAGACACGTCCTTACGGATCCATCAGATCCAATAGCCCTTGCATTAGACGCCTTCAGTTCTAGCACTAGAAGCCGGCTTAGGGACCCCGGTAACCATACTCGTCGAACTCGGCAAGGGGTTCGTCGTGCAACCTAAGCCCATGCATCAGCCCGCTGAGTTTCTCGCCGGATCTTTTGAGCGGGTCGCAATTCCGATCCAGTAGTAGATTCATCCGCGAAGCAGCTGCTCTCGAGTTGTTAGGTCTCCTACGGAGGCGCTCGGGCGTCTGCTAGCTAATCCCACCCCTCTTGGTAGAGCCCTTGCTCACCCACCTATGCTAGTGAAACTGGAAAGGCCTCAGGGCCACCAGTGATCCTTCAATCATAAAAAAAAAAACATTTAAAAGGTAACGAATAGCATCGTCGTCCGCGATCACCAAAACTGTAATTTCTTCGAAATGTCGGAGTAATAAAATATTATAGAAACAATAAAAGCGAGATTAAACAGTAAAAATGATTTTAAATAATATATGTCGGCGTCTCGCGAAAACTGAAGAATAATGTTTTCTTCTTTATTAGTTTACGATTGTCATTAAACATAAAACTGCGAACGTACTTCAGACGTTGCCAAGTCCGTTAGTCTCCTGTTAATCCGTAAGCTTACACGTATCACCTACGTTTCTCCTCCAAGTATATCATACGCTTATCATTGAAGAATGTGACGAGCTTAGATAAAACATATCGATTTCTTTAAAAAAATTAAAAACGAAAGTTGCGATTAAAATTACGTAATCAATTCAGGGTTTTTGGGAACTGATTATCATCATATTTTGTTTTTATGAAATGCTTCTTTTTATATTAGGTATTAATTAACGTCACTTAATTTATACTTATTTGCATAGTTTCTAGGATTGAACCTGAAGTTGTGCAAATAATTATAGTCGGATATTTCGAACGATTATGTTTCGCCGCTACGAATGAATGTAATTAATAAATACATCATCACTTAGAAAGTTTACGACAAAGATTATGAGGTTTTCATGGTTTTTGTTGGCAGTATCTAGAAAAATTTGGCCTCCGTTGTGCTTTTTTAATGAAATGAATGCTCTAGGTCATTTTGAGGCTACAGACACCACAGAGCAAGGCGCCCGTAGTTAACACTGTTATATATGAAGATATAAAGAAATATGTTTAATATTAAAAATGTTAAAATATCTATCGAAATAAAATAATATAGCCACATATGAGCCAAAGAAAAATCAGGGTAGGAAAGTAAGCTCTATCAGCGTTACGGCGAGTGACTCTATATCTGTGATAGCACGAATATTGTTATTGCTGAAGAAGTAATAAATACAGGTTTACATATTGATTTGATAAGTTTTAGCATAACGATCAACTGATTAGCAAAGTTTTTCGTTGTTAATTTGATTTAAAATAACAATGGTTTTTAAGATGTTATTATTGTTTCATGGTCTTTTTGTTTGTGGTTTCATAGTCAAGAAAAACAACTGACTGGGTTTTTTTATTCGGGGTGAAATTGGCAGTCGTTTATCTAAGCGTTAAGGACAGTAATCAGGGCCTACAGTAGACTAAATGACTAAAAATTCCAGTTAATGCAGTTCCAAATAACGCAGTAATGCGTTTCGGTTCGAAGGGCGGGGTAGCCGTTGTAACTATACTGAGAGACCTTAGAACTTATATCTCGAGGTGGTTGGCGCATTTACGTTCTAGATGTCTATGGGCTCCAGTAACCACCTAACATCAGGTGGGCTGTGAGCTCGTCCATCCATCTAAGCAATAAAAAAAATAAAAAAACGTTACAGTCAAGGTCACCAGGACTCTCAATCAACTAGCTCATTACGTATAATAGACAAATTAAATTCATTTTTGAAGCCTACGTATTGATTGTAACATGAAGCACTAACCTTGTTATATCAAAGGATATTTAGTATTTGTATCGATAATACCAAGGACTAGCATGAGCTTTCGGCACGGCCCTTGTATGTGGGCGATCCCTAGAGGCTAGAGGCGTAAGTTCCACTGGAGCGTTTTTTTAAATTGCACATGTTGTATTTGATTAAAATTTTATTTAGCGGTTTAAATCTCTCTTTCTCTCTCTTTATTTATTTGCTACTTATTTAACTATCATTTAATTATTTTTGCAGCGAGCGTGTGTTGGGTCGCGGCGATGCGTCCTGGACTAACTGGGGCACTATACAGTGGCACCTCGTGGGATGCCTATTTCTCTCCTGGGTCATCGCATTTTTGTGCGTCATAAAAGTGAGTCTTATTTAATTGAACAAATCTATGATTAAGACGTTTGAATACGTTTTGAAGCATTCGTCTCGAAATAGGAGTTACCTGGTGCTGTTGAGTGATTGTGTGCATCGATCCTGTAACTGATACTAAATTTGGTCATTACTTTGTGTTTGCAAAGAACTTCTACTACAAGACCAACGGATATTTGTTCGTTGTAGTAATACAGGAGGCTTGGTCCAGCATAATCCAATTAAACAGGCACAGCTTAGATGGTTTTAAGTATCGGTTGGGAATTTTGTGAAAGTTAGAACAACGCGTCCTGCCGAATTTGGCAGTGAAGCAATCCAATTATATTTTTAAGGATAGGTTATTTGAATGCAATTTAAAATTTTAAAGTTAATTTGTGTTGTCTGTATTTTTATGTATATCTATGGAACATTACACTTTTCATGCATTACGACAAAAAGTAAGTAATTATACATTCATATTAAAAATATTCAAATGAATTGTGTTTTTATGAAATAATTGAATTAAAATTATTTTTTGCTGTGTGTGAAATTCAAGATTTTGTCTATTATTTTACAATAAAAAACAAATGATTTGAAAAAAAAAAAGGATTTGATGAGATAATTAGTAGTTATCAAAAATGTAACTACTTATCATGAATACTAATGTAATTGCCAATCGATGAAAACTCAAGTATCTGTTATTCTCTAGCCTATTTTCTTCGTCAGCGTTCTTTCAGTGAATTTCCAAATATCATGTTTATGTTTAAAATGTCATTAGTATAAGGACATTACTTTTTTGAGATTGCATAGCTTAGCCACAGTCTGATACTCAAGTTGCCTTTGACACAAATAAGCACGTGTGATTATTGGTGGTAGGACCTCTTGTGAGTCCGCGCGGGTGGGTATCACCACCCTGCCTATTTCTGCCGTGAAGCAGTAATGCGTTTCGGTTTGAAGGGTGGGGCAGCCGTTGTAACTATATTGAGACCTTAGAATTTATATCTCAAGGTAGGTGGCGCATTTACCTTGTGGATGTCTATGGGGTCCAGTAACCACTTAACACCAGGTGGGCTGTGAGCTCGTCCACTCACCTAAGCAATAAAAAAACCAAAAAAAAAACCTGTATTTCGTAGGGTGTCCAGTCAGCAGGAAAAGTTGTCTACTTTACCGCACTGTTCCCCTACGTAATGTTGACGGCTCTGCTCATTCGGGGAGTGACTTTAGAAGGAGCTGTGGACGGAGTCCTATTTTACTTGACGCCGACTTGGTCAACCTTGCTGGAAGCCAAGGTCTGGGGTGACGCCGCATCACAAGTAAGTCTTAAAAATTATACCTTACAATATTACTTGATAATAGTTTCTAGCATTACCGAACGGAAAGATGCAGAGATATGCAATATGACTCCCTCAAATGTTTTAAATTATCACAACCAACATACCTTTTTTTACTAATTTATCTCTAAGTATTGCAAGATGTTAAAAGCCTATATTTTGTTCGCTGCCCCACCTCATATTTCTATTACGAAGTAATTACGTGTTCCAGTTTGAAAGGTATTATCATTGTTTTGCTTAGATAAAAAAAAAAAAAACGTGTGGCACTCGGGAACTGTCGCGGTAGAGCTATTGCGTAACATTTTTTATCAACTTATGCAATTTTAATTAGACAATGATAATTTAATATTAAAACAATAATAATAGAAGACCAAGCTATATTAAACATTAATAAAAGCAAAACCTTAACTGTCCCCTTCACACTCATAAGTTAGAGCGCCAGAGAGAGAGATGACTTATAGACTTTTCATGATGCGCATGCAGTGTGACGTCACGCCACGCGCTTATTCACAAACACTACACAAGCGCAACGTGTGAATATGTTGAACGCGAACTACATGGTAGGCGGAGTGAGGGGTGTAAGGTTTTTTTCGTTACGAAATTTCATAATTCGATCGCCGCGTTCAAGTCCCGCGATAAAAGCTATGCAATAGCTTAAAATAGAAAAAAATATCTCTTTTCTCTTTTCGTTAGTGTCTAATGTACGCCAAGCCCAAACACTTGTATGGCCTAATTACTTTATGCTCCAACAGATATTCTACTCCTTTGGTGTGGCCTGTGGCTCCCTTGTCACTCTGGCTTCTTACAACAACTTCTATAACAACTGCCACTTCGATGCCGTCTTCGTCGCATTTGCCAACTTCTTGACTTCCATTTATGCTGGTTTTGCCATCTTCTCCGTTCTTGGATTTCAAGCTCAGCTCATGGGAGTCAGTGTTGATGGTAAGGATTTTTTGCATTTAGCGATATTAGCGATAAATATATTAATGAAACATGGTAGATAAGTGATGATTAATCGAACTTTTTAAACACAACGTGGTTTGTCATGCGGCAAAAAACTCTAAAACGGGGAAGACCGGAAACGATAAAACTTGGATCGACTGCCTAGAACTTTTACACAATCATTTATAAGTACTTAATTTAAAGTATTTTAAAAGCCCAAACGGCTGTTAGATTGCCTTTTAGTAAGACACTATCGTGTCTTTTGATACTCTCTTGGAAAAAATCATAAAAAATCATAGTGCATGTTATTATTTCACACGGTTATATAAATATAATTATTTTAAGTAATGTTTTAATTACGAAGTTATCATCCGTCTACATTTGAACCACAGGATGGTCGTTACGCATCTATAGGAAGTCGGTACCTTAGATCTGTCAAAACTTTATTACTGGTGGTAGGACCCCTTGTGAGTCCGCGCGGGTGGGTACCACCACCCTGCCTATTTCTGCCGTGAAGCAGTAATGCGTTTCGGTTTGAAGGGTGGGGCAGCCGTTGTAACTATATTTGAGACCTTAGAACTTTTATCTCAAGGTGGGTGGCGCATTTACGTTGTGGATGTCTATGGGCTCCAGTAACCACTTAAGACCAGGTGGGCTGTGAGCTCGTCCACCCATCTAAGCAATAAAAAAAAACTGAAATAATCTTAAATTGCCATTTCATCTCACCATGCACCCACCAAACATAGCTCTTGAATAGCTAATGTACAAAAATACTTGAATTATTAGATTTTGTTTAGCGATTCCAAGTGGAATAACTTATGAATAATATAAATATTAAACATGTCACAAAAATGTGATTAAATTTAATTCGATAAAGATTTATGTATGTAATTGTTATAATTTTTACCACTTAAGGTCAATAATCTCACGGCCCACCTGGTGTTGAGTGGATACCCACGACATAACAGAATCAGTGCCACTTATCCTGAGACGTGAAATCAAAGTCTCTAATTAATAATATTACGGCTGTCTCACCCTTCAGATTGGAACGTATTACTGTTCCATGCGTGAAATTGTCAGAATGGTCACATATTATACACAGACATATTAATGAACCACCGGTTATTACGTGATTGATTATTTTGGGATTGAGTTGTTATTCTTGTTTTTATTGTTTCACCGTGAAAGTTGATCATGAATACGTGCTAAGTATTGCACCAATTTTCAATAAATGAATTTATCTCTAGATCTTTTTAAAGAGTTGTGATTTCCATCCTGTGGTAGACCCCTCCCCACCACCACCACCACCCATCCTGGTGGAAGTGAGAAGGCCTCCGGATGAACAGTAATCCTTACCTCCTAAATGTATCTACAATGACAGAAAGCAATTGATCCATGATTTTTGAATACAAAAACCACGGTAACACGTTTCTTATCACTAACGGACCAAATACCATCCGGCTACAAGTAAACGAGATATATTTCTATGCGGAAAAATAAACCGACGAATGGCAAATAAATTCCTTACCTCTATAGGATTGTGATTTTCCCGAATCAAGTGTTCGATTCATACGAAATCACCACATTCCCATGACACTCACAGTAGAATGCAGCAGCAGAAACTCAACTCAGAGATGTGTAACGCGTGTCTAATTAAAACACTACTCCGGAAGTTTATTTTTTTATTTTTTTTATTGCCTAGATGTGTGGAAGAGCTCACAGCCCACCTGGTGTTAAGTGGTTACTGGAGCCCATAGACATCTACAACGTAAATGCGCCACACACCTTGAGATATAGTTGTAAGGTCTCAGTATAGTACAACGGCTACCCCACCCTTCAAACCAAAACGCATTACTGCTTCACGGCAGAAATAGGCGGGGCGGTGGTACCCACCCGTGCGGACTCACAAGAGGTCCTACCACCAGTAATTACGCAAATTATAATTTTGCGAGTTTGATTTTTATTGCACGATGTAATTATTCCTTCACCGTGGAAGTCAATCTGAACATTTGTTAAGTACGTATTTCATTAGAAAAATTGGTACCCGCCTGCGGGATTCGAACACCGGTGCATCGCTACATACGAATGCATCGGACGTCTTATCCTTTTAGGCCACGACGACTTATATAATCGATCGTCCGCCATTACGATGATTTTACAACATGTACCAGAAATCTCGGTAGCTCGATAACAACGTTAATGTCATGGACAACAACTGTATTCAAGTACAAGCGAAGCACAAGTACTTATCGTTTTCTCAGGTTCATATTTGTTGATCCCTTAATGATAATGTTAGAACGCGAAGCAGATCCGTAAGAGAACAACCTTCACCTACTAATGTCGACACCGTTCTTGTTAAACATATAATGAATGTTCCGATGGAAATAACAATTCTTTTGACTTGATCAGTTCTTGATTATTGAAAAGTGAGTTCTTTACTGCGCTACACCGCTTCATAAATATTAGAGTTCCATTCACGAGGTAACTCTTTGATTAAATACTGAATATTACATTTGATCATTCCTTTATGTGATTTTCAAATAGATACCCGATTGTTAGGGAACCGCATGAAAACTGCGTTGTCGCACTGGTAAATAATCCGGTGGTAGATTCAGCGAAGCACTGCTCTTGTCGGGGTAGATGCTAGTAAAGTGTCCTAAGCTGAGCCCCGTGAGCTCACCTGCACGATTGGTGAATCTAGAGTAACTCCTTGAGGTTACTAGCACTAGGTAGGCATAAAAAGCTAAATAAATGAATGGTTCTAACTAAAAATATCCTATAGCGCAAAAACTTTATTTTACTTTACTTCAGCATCAACATTTTTCGGAATTTCCCACACATATGTTGAAATTTAGGCAAACACAGGGTTTGTAAGGGCGTCGAAGCGCACCTGCTTCTAATTATTAACTTTAATAAAAAGTAACTAATGTAGAAACCGCTTACGTTTCTTTCAAAAGTTTCTTCTTTCTTCACAATTTGAGTTGCACTCAATATATTTTAATCTTGTTTGGTAACTGACACTTTATATTATTGCTTACTAACTTTTGATTAAAGATAATATTGGCATGGTTTCGATACACTTCCCTAACGTGGTTCATGGATGACAAATTTCATTTATCTAGTGCAGATAATCTCCGTATAACACGATTGAGATCGGTACACAGAACGGGTACACAGGACGAAATTATCCGCGCACTGTTTCTGACCATATAGCTTTATACTCTAAAATAATAATATAATACTAAACAAAGTGTGTTCTTTCATCAAAGCGCAACTGGAGTGACATAGTTTATTGTCAGAGCTGTTTTGAGGAGATTGGGTTAATTGGCGTCACTGCCTCGATGAGGTCTGAAAATGCCCGTAAACGTCACTCCACGCAATTGAAAATATTTTATTGGCATTCCGTAAATCTTTGACCAGACACAGATAAAACGTCGACATTAATATAAAACACGTGCCATAAACAGAACCAAAAGTCCACCGGCCTTCCGAATCGGCTCACCAGACATCGTTATATTCACCTATCAAGTAATTACTCGACTTGATAACAACGCCATCAGCGAAAACTTTATTATTACGTTTATCTCTTGATAAATTTGTATTGACAGAGCTCTTGAAATTTCCGAATTATTAACGTATTTCACGTCAAGTATAGGCATCGAGGATATGTTTACACATGTCTGCTATGTGCACGCGGAACTAAGTTTGTAGGCATGGGCAGTAACATCTATAATTATAATATTAAAATGTAAAGAAAAAACTTTGTACACACTTTTTACGAAAATTGCGCGGACGGAGGAGTATGAAATTTGCCACACTTATAGAGAATATAGAGAAGGAGGACAGAATTTTAATATTTTTTTAAATTATGGATAATAAATACATTAAACCAATTAAAAAAAAAATTTTGACACACTTTACCATGTATTTGATACAACACTTACTATATACTCTTTGTTTATTGTCAAACTTTGGTTATTATATAAAATCTGTGGTAAAATTGAGAATATATTAATATTGTTTGTCTGTAATATTATTTGTCACATATCTTATACAGAAACCAAACTAAACATCTCCTTCCCTAACATATATAGGTCGCGGAGGGCTTAGTGATGTTAAATATTGTTAATCTTGTCCACAGCTCGAGAAAACTCAACAAAGCTCAGTATAGGCCTAGGCCGCACTACGGTGAAACCGCAGCGGTTATTAACCGTGTGAGTTTATGAAAAACGAAAACGAATACAAGCGGCCGCACTTGCGGTTCTTTCCCGCGACTGATTTTAATACCGCGAAATGTTACAAAATTGTCGCGGAAAAAAACCGCAACAAAATTTGTAATCCATAGAACTAGGTATCCGTGCACGCACTATGCGTAACCGCGGGCGGTTTTTTGAAATTTCAAATACATTTGCGAAATTTTGTTTCCATGAAATTGGCCACTGCCATCCGAAAGTCATTGAAAAAAAATTCTAGGGGTTTTCTTAAATTTTGATATTTCTTATGAAAGAAACCTTTCTCAAATCTACTGTTAGTAAGTGGATGGACCCAACATTTGTGAAAATTTCGTAATCTTTTTTTCTATTTCTTAGTACCAGAGCAACACTACATACTGCTCTTTTGAAATTTATCCATCTTCGAACTGTGAAAATCGCGGGCGAATTCGCGGTTAATAATTGTAATAATTGTAGTGTGTGCGTCTTAAGCGGTTTCGCGGTTACAGCGGTTAACCGCTCCCCGAAAAAAACCGTAGTGCGGTCTAGGCCATAATCCTGTCTTTGTATATCTTGTTTAAGTGCTGCATGCGTTACTAAATGGAAACTAAAAATGTGAACATCTCTTTATAGCTTATGAACATATGTATATCACTACACTTCATATAACCAGCCGGACATATTAGGACAGAATTCACTGGATAGTTTAAATGTATAATTTACTTACTTGATAACTTAATAATCCAAACTAAATGATATAACATGTATGTAAGTATGACAGGAACCATTTATTACGAACTGGCCTGCAAGCTCGTTTACCCAACTGCGCTCATTAAACGGAAGCAACTAATAGACAAAAAATTAAAAAAAGAATTTACTATGGCATTTTATCGATAGACGTAGCAGAACAGGGTCCTGGCCTGGCATTCGTGGCATATCCAGAAGCTATACTGCAGATGCCAGTACCTCAGCTGTGGTCCATATTATTCTTCTTCATGCTGTTCATTTTGGGTCTTGGCAGTCAGTTCGCTGGTATTGAAGCGATCAACACTGCTATAGTAGACCAGTGGCCGCATCTTAGGAAGAACTACTGGAGGGTAAGTCTTTGAAATAAAACAACTTCCTTATGGCTATAGTTCGACAGACGAGTTGATAGCTTACCCCATCCATGTAACTTTTGTTGCTCACCTCGGCAATGGCAGGGATAGGGACAAGCTTCTACCTAACATTGAAGGAAAAAAAATCGCTTAAACTTCAGAAACTGGCCAATAGATATTGAATGAAATTAATCTGCTCACTTATTTATTACTCAAAAAGACTCAAATCAGCGGCCTCGGGCTCTTTAACATCTTCCGCACCTTTGGCGCCTTCTTCTTCAGCTTGTAGTACTTGTTTATCTTTAGCTAGTTTATCAAGTTTCATCCTATCTATTCTGTAGTATACATAACATAGCTAAAGTGATAGGATGAATTGTGGGTTTCCGTTTCTAACTACACTTAGCAGCAACTATTCCGTTTTCAATTGCATCATTCGTTTACGTAGGCTCATGGATTGTAATAACTTCATAAATGACACTCACAGCTGGACGAGATTGATGAGCGATATTTAACATACTGTATTTTTAATATTCGTCCTACAATGATTCAAAATCAACAGGTAACAGCGTTTACGTGTATGATGTGCTTCATATTGGGGATCCCGATGTGCTTCAGTGGAGGCGTCTACTTGTTGACTCTCCTCGATTGGAACACGGCCTCTTGGGCTATCCTTCTCATCGGTATGGCCGAGGTAAAGTTCAACATTTACTTCGCTTTTTGCTACAAACTTTCTGAATACAAATAACGAAGCCATCGCTTAGTCTTATATATTGTAAGCCCACGCTTTTAGCGTGTGGGATAGCAAAATAATGAATACAGAGTAAAATAAATTAGGCGAAAGGTTGTAATGATTCCATAACACGGTTTTTGTAAATATTTAGCATAATCTATCTGTTTGTTTGTTTAGAGTTAAGTTCGTTATGATTTTGAACTCATTTTGACGATTGAAATTGAATGGATAAAAATGCAAAAAGTGACGGTCTATTAAAACTTGGGTATTTATTGTTCAGTGTGTGGCAGTATCTTGGAGTTACGGCATCAATCGAGCAATTAAAGATTTGGCCACGATGGGCATGACCCTAAATAAGTTTCTTAGATTCTACTGGAGGGCCGTTTGGACTGTCATCGTACCATTTGGTAGTATTGTGAGTATTTATTACTACACTATTGTGCTACTCTTACTCTCTCATCAATACAGAAGACCGAGCATTATTTATAAGCAAGATGGTTGTGCCCTTGTGCGAATGAACGGGTTATAAATAAGTTCCCTTTAAGTAAAAAAAAAACATTTATTATAAATGTTATTAAAGAATAATCCCAACAAATATCCCATGGTTGAATGATCTAAGCGTACGAAAAATGTGCATTTGGAGGTTCCAATCCTCTTTTCGTGAGCAAAGATAAGTTTTTTGGCAATCACTATTTGGATTGGAGATAATTAGAATTAGAGGTAATTTGGACTGAAAGAAATTTGCTACCTAATGTTTAATAACTTTTATCAGTTTGAAATCAATCCACTAAGTATTTCTACGTTTTTCAGGGTATTCTAGCTTTCATATTTTCGGACTGGACAGCTCCAGCTTACGAAGACTATGTTTTCCCGTTATTCGCTGATTTGCTGGGCTGGGCGGTTGGGCTGTCCACACTGGTATTATTCCCTGTAGGAGTTGCCTGGGCTATCTACCATGGATACGTAAGTAGTGTTATATCCTAATACTACATAAATATTAATTCCAAAGTGGCATATTTTATAAAAAATATGTTACCTTCACAGAATATAGGTACAATATATTATGTATAATTATGTGATCGTTACTGGCTTTTTTCTTTGAATGTAATGCTGGTTTTGTGGTTAGAGATTCTGACTACCGCACCTCGGGATCCGATTTCGATGTTTGGTCAGAGTTAGCATCTTTTTTTAAAGACATTTCATATTCAGGCTCTATGTGCAGTCATCTTATCCTGTTTGTTTTACTGGTACAAATAATATAGAATATAACGCTAGCTAGTAAATAGAAAGTTGAAATAGTAGTAGTATACTAGTAAGTTGAAATTCCCACTTTTTTCTTTAAAGTGTGAAATTCGACTGGTTTTTTCACGAAACACAGAGCTTATAGTGTTTCGTAAAGTGGTAACAAATTTGAATAAAATTAAGCAAACAGTGGAACAATTACTCTTTGGCAAGAATGTCTCAAATTACAATTTGAATGTTGAAGGAGCAATATTGTTAAAGATAAAATCGATTAGTTAATTCTCACTCGATATGCTCATTACAAATTTTATATTATTAATTTACTCCTATCTTATATTCTGATCGGAGTTTTCTAGCGGTCTAATCGGGCCCCTCTACCTCATGTCCATAAACCAAAATCATTATTACCCGAAAATGGCGTGTGAGCTTTGTACTTAATTAATTCAAAAAGAATGAGCAATGCTAAACTTCAAATTGCTGTATGCGTTGCCATCCGAGGTATCTCTCTCTTCGATCGGTTCCTCACTACTGAGGATCGTGACTCCGTCCGATTTCGTCAACCAACTGTCTCCATCGATCCCGCCCTGCAGCCCGGTGGAGTGCGTCGCTGATAGGTATCCCCAGATCCTCCGCTATTTGGTCCGAGGTATAGCGAACTTAAAATAATATAGTGGGTTGTACCAGATAGACTGAGGACTCTACTATAGGTCTACAATAAGATACGGTACTTCGGTACATTTATGATGAAAACTATATAATGGCCCCTCCTCCGATGTCTCTTATCGGATTTTAGTTTCCTGGCCAAAAATATCGAAACATAAGGTATAGGCTAACTTGTTTTGCTGATATTGGTGATTAACTCGGTAGCTGTTACCTAATAGCTTGCCAAATCATGTCAATCTTATCTTGGTACATTTTGATAGAAGCTTTATCTAGTAGAGGCTATAATATCAACATAATAAATGAAAGTGTTTTATGAACATTGTACATTTCATTAAATTGCGTCTTATTTATTGTAAACAAGCTAATCATTCAGCAATGTCATACGGTTTTTGTAATCTCAACCTCTGGTTCGACACTGTATATAAATATTATGTACAATGATTCTGAATTCCGAATGTTCAGCATGAATCAGCAGTAAATATCTATAAAAAATTCCGCTCATAAGATTATTTTATTTTTATTGGCTAGATGGGTGGCCGAGCTCACGGCTCACCTGGTGTGAAGTGGTTACCGGAGCCCATAAACATCTACAACGTAAATACCGCCACCCACCTTCAGAAATGAATTCTAAGATGAATGATGAATGTTAAGTCTCAAATTTTACAGTACGACGGCTGCCCCACGCTTCAAACTGAAACGCATTACAGCTTCACGGCAGAAACAGGCAGGGTGGTGGTACCTATCCGTGCGGGCTCATAAGGCGTCCTACCACCACATAAAGAAAATTATTTTCACTTTCCAGAGAGGCAAGCAGTTGTTTACTCCAACTCCAGAGTGGGGACCAGCTGTAAAAGCACCTCCAGTAGAATCAGCGCAGTTTGGAGGGCCTCACGACAATGGGGGCTACGTAATGTGAACCACTATAGAACACTGATGCTAATCTAGTCAAAATTATTAGTTTCAACGCAGAGTTTATGTGGTCATTATTTATAAACTACATTTCTCATCTGCTCATAAAGTTAAATTTTGAATTGATTCATTTGATAGTTCACACCCGACTTGATAATCAGTGATAATTTGTTTTGTAGTTAAAGAATCCAAACTATTTGGAAAATTAAATATGTGCTGATTATTTTCGAAGCTCATAAAGTCTTCGTCAAGGAAAGGTCGGAATAAGAGTGCAATCGCGGACTTCCAAGATGTCCTATCATCATTATTTAAGATAGCAGCGGGGGATTTAGAAATTTGGTGCGTAAGCAAAAATAAGGGGTGAGTATTGTGCCGCTAAAAAAGAAAGACGGTGAAAGAGTACCAGTAACCGAGTAGACTGCAGTCACAAATGACTTCTTAGAAATAGCCGTAGATACTATTATCCTGCTAATTCTGTGGACTTCATTTTCGGGATAGCTTCGCAAATTTGTTGTATTTATTTTATCTAAAAAACGGACACATAATACAATCTTTTGTTCTGTTTCTTTTCAAGTCTGATTCTATTACACAGTTTTGGAAGATATGTATGAATAAGGTTCGCAAATAAAATTAATTTCTACTATTTTCTATTCAATATGTTTTTGGGTGTGAAAAAATGATACAGTAGCATAGTTAGCTATTTACCTTTATCGTTTTGATGCGACTGCCGTATCGTTTTTCCTGTCCTGGCTATATATCATACAGTCGGCATCGAGATCGCGTATCCTTTCCCATTCCTACTCTGAATGCTACCACTGTATCAAAAATACCCAGGGAGAATAAAAGTAAATACGAAAAAAAAAAGTTATTAAAAATAATTATGAACAGAAGTAGACACGTCTGGTTGTCAATGTGCATGACCTTTTTTTCCTGCCTAATTGTTGGTAGCCTAACAAGATATTCTAATTACGCGACTGGTAGGTGAGCTCACGGACTCAACCTGAGATAATTGCTAACACCGATCCCAACAAGAATGCTTCGCTGAATCTTCAACCGGATTGGAGTCGCTTTCCATTGAGAAGTTCCGGCAGGAAACCCAGTGGGCAATGTGCATAGCTTAACACAGCTGTGTTTGATTTTGAGCCGTCAATTAAAGTTCCCAGCAGCTTCAAAACAAATGGTTTAAATTTGAATTGTACGGGGTTATGGACTTTGCGCGTCAGTGGCGACGCTCGTTTAGCACCGCTGGGATTACAGTCACAGTTTACCACCGTTCCACAACCATTTTGCTACCACATTGCTATAGCAATCATTTTACTCTCGATAGCGCTACTAAAGTCACACAGGATAGTCATACTTGATATAGCACTCTTTTTTATTGCCCTTGTAGGCAGACGAGTATACGGCCCACCTGATGGTGAGTGGTTACCGTCGCCCGTGGACTTCAGCAATGCCTGTGGCAGAGCCAAGCCGCTACCTACCGCATAATACTCTCCACAAGCCTCTTTTGAAGAAGGACATGTCATAGCGCTCGGGAAACACCCTGGAGGGGAGCTCATTCCATAGCCATGTTTTGCCTAAGATTGAAGCTTACGGCTCATTTGACGTTAAGGGGTCTACCGGAGCTCGCTTTGAGATATACATAGAAGTCTCAGTTGTATTGTAATATCGCGATCTTGCTGTTCAGATTCTTATGGAACAATATATTGATTTAAGACATCCATGCGGGTTCAAAATGTCTACTTTTTCATTTGAATGACAATTTATTTTGTTACCAATGTTTTCGTGCAATTTAGGCTTTTCTTTTGTAAAAATACTTGTTATCTTATTAATTTCTAGTTCTACGATACAACGGTAATGTATTATAATATTTAGGTTGTAATAATGAAGACTATTTTAATTACATATTATTGTATTGGTTACCTAGTGTTTTTGTTTTATGATTGTCGAACTGAAGGACGCTTACCGTGGTCTACGGGCCTAATGAAGTTGTTCATGTTTACTGTATTTGCTTAATTATTTAATTTATTAAGTTTTTACGCTTATTGTTAGTAATTAAATAAGGTATTAATTTAATAATACATTTAAGACGATTTCCGTTATGTAAAATTTTTTAGTATTTGAATTAATATTATATAGTAATCAAATAAATTTACATTGGTGTGTTTGTGTTATTCTTTTTATTACCTTTGCGGACAGATGATCGTACCGCCCACCTAATGGTAAGTGCTTACCGTTGCTCATAGACGTCAGCAATGCCAGGGGCAGAGCCAAGGTCGCTGTCTACCATTGAATACTCTCCGTAAGCTTCGCTTTGAAGAAGGACATGTCATAGTGCTCGGGAAAAATCTCATTACTAAGTCGGATGGTACGTGGCAGAAAAGATCTTTGGAAAAGCACTGTCGATGAACGCAGCGGTTCCAGACAATATGGATGAACTCTGGTCCGGATGAATTGATATCTGCTGCTGTGGGTGCATTTTTATTTTAAAATGTTAACTCGTTTATGAAGTCCCATGTGTTATGTACCTGTCACAACCACAGAATGGACACATATAATATTTGCACAGCCCAGCTTGAGGTGTGAGGTCGAGTCGATTGTGTTGCACAATGTCGGATGCAGTCTTCAAACCGGGACACTTTACTGCTTCGCGTCATAAATAAATGGCGTTATATGTCTACACGTGTAGGCTATTTTTTAACCAATTTGTGTAGGTAAACGTCATAAATAGTACTTGATACAAACATTCCATCTAAACGAGACTTTAAGGCATTCATCTTGAGCGATGTTTAATTAAAGAGTTAAAAGACTTTGGATTTGATTTGAAGCTCGAAAGCTGTTTGAGCTTTTATCCATTAGGGGCTTTTCAGACATCTACAGTATTATATTCGTTAATTGAATAAAAGTTTTGCTCTATATTTTATAATATAAAATTTCAAAGTATACAATGAAAATATACTTGATTTCGCTTAGAAGCATGTATGTATCAAAATTCAAAGAACAAAGATATTGAATTTTGTAGTTTAGCCACAAAAGGTCAATTTTGGTAGTTTATTAATGACAGTTGAAGAGAAAAATAGAGGGGGATAGAGGGGAGGGGGATAAATAGAGGGGAGAGGGAGTATAGGGGGGAAGAAGTCGACCGAAGAAGACATGGATGGAGTGCGTGAATGACGATATGAGAGAGAGAGAGAGAGAGAGGAGTGAGTGTTGAGATGACGGCTGATAGAANTTACGGATCCATCAGATCCAATAACCTTTGCATTAGACGCCTTCAGCTCTAACACTAGGAGCAGGCTTAGGGACCCCGGTAACCGTACTCGTCGAACTCGACAAAGAGTTCGCCGTGCAACCTAACCCATGAATCAGCTCGCTGAGTTTCTCGCCGGATCTTCTCAGTGGGTCGCGATTCCGATCCGGTAGTAGATTCATTCGTGAAGCAGCTGCTCTTGAGCTTTTAGGTCTCCTTCAGAGGCGCTCGGGTAGCTGTTAGCAAATCCCACCCCTCCTGGCTGAGCCTTTGCTTGCCCACCTGTCCTGGTGAAACTGGAAAGGCCTCCGGGCCACCAGTAATCCTTCAATCATAAAAAAAAAGAATGGAACAAAAAATTACTTGTGCGGCCCTACCTAGCGGAATAAGGTGGAGAAAAAGAAGAGAGTTGAAGAGAAAAATATAGCGCAAGGTAGCCATGCATAGCACAGCATCGCAGAGCTTGAGCAATTGACTTTTCGTGGCTGTTAGTATTCGTAACCACACTCCAGAGCTACTGCGGTACCGAATACCCCATAACAACTTCCGGCGGCGCGTCTGTTACGCGGTCTGTTACCCCCCTCGACCGGGTATCCGTAAAGGGATTGCCCAGCGTAAAAAAAAGGTTTGAATCAATTCACATACAATTAACTGACTAACTCTTAGATTTATATCTGCTTATAATTGTATTACTATAAAATATATAATATCTGATGTCAGTATATTCGAATTGAGTTAATTAATAGACGGGCACTTTAAAACAAATATACTATTTAAAATGTGGTTGAACCCTCACTGAACTGAAGAAAGCACATGAAACCTAGCGATAGAATTAATTATCAGTCAGTCCACTAGACATGCTTAATTCGATTTAACAATAATATTCATTCTCTTATTCAAAAGCTTAAATGGCCTTGATTGGTTTCATCTTAATAAATTTTAATTAATTACTAAGTATTGTTACTAAAATCTTGTTAAATTAAATAAATCTTATCATCTGTTAGGGTTTCATCGACATCTCTCGATGTTTTTATTTTATTTTTATTAGATGGGTGGACGAGCTGACAGCTCACCTGGTGTTAAGTGGTTACCGGAGCCCATAGACATTTGCAACCTGGAGATAAGTTCTAAGGTCTCAAGTATAGTTACAACGGCTGCCCCACCCTTCAAACCGAAACGCATTACTGCTTCACGGCAGAAATAGGCGGGGTGGTGGTACCAGTAAAAAATATATGATTTATATAAACGGTGTGTTTTCGGGAAAATGTTTAATATTCACATATTTGTTAAATTACTATATACTTTACATTAGACGCATTGATACATGATTATTAATAATATACATGATTTCATCTTTCCGAATCAAGGAGTTACAAATAGAAAAAAAATCCGTAAACTTTTAACACAGCTTTGATGTCATTTCATTCATCATTCTCTGGAAAATTACTTTATTATATAGTCATTTGTAAAATTTCAACTCAATGCTGAAATAACATCGCAATCAAATCGTCAAATCTCAAATTTAAAAGTTGATTGTTTTGGAAACATCAGGCTATGTCATTCCCCCGAGTATCAAAGTTCAGTGCACTGTAATCCTACTATATCCCTACACCAAATAGAAGTCTTCTAAACAAACGACAGCTGTTTGCATTCGAACAGATCGACAAGCAATCATAGAATAATGTACTTTTCGAAGCTTTATTAAGATTACTTCTCTAAAAACTCAACGAAACTTTTGAGCTTCTCAACTTATTGAA